GAAAAGTGATTGGCAAACACAACGTTTTCACACTTCTCTTTCTTACCCTTTGTCTAGTAATTATATTAATCAATAACAAAATATCCTTGACTTTTAATGATAACTTTTTCACAACCACTCTGCAGAAATGTCAGTGCCTTCAAAGGTACCAGGCAAGAAAACCATCACATACAATTTCTGAATCTAACTTCTGTGGGAAAATTGCAATTGTTTCTGGCTAGTATCTTGCACAGTCCTAGGGGAGTGCCAAGGCTATTTATGTTTTAAGCTTTATTAGTATAATATGCAGGATTATTATTTTCCTGGAAGAATCTTAGGGTAGGACTTTGTGGTTGTTTGCTGTTAAGTGGCATGTCTAAATAAAAATATAGTGGTTAGACAGATATAATGGAATATATGATTTGCCGTATAAGGATTTCTTCTTTTCTCTCTCCTTTTCAATTTTATTGTAGCTAAATTTCCACTTCAGTGTTTTCATTTTCAAATCTGCAATTAATTGAGGGCTCATTTTATTGTGCATTTGAGTCTAATTACTTCTTTGGTGGGCCCAATCTGGTACTTAGACATCTAAGTACTTGAGAAAAACCACCAGTTATTTGCAAGTATAATTGCTTGTAATCAAAAAGACAAGTGGAAAGTGACCTTTTCTTTGGAAATTAGTCTTTCTACATTATCTATTTATTTATATAACACACAGAAGAGACCAATTCACTTTTGGAAAATAAAGTGAAATTCTTGGGAAATCCTAAATCACTTTTTCTCTTTCCTCACTGGTGCTGTAAGAAGCAGCCAAAAGATTATATTCAGAGTAGGCAGTCCTTGAAAATGTTTGTGCTTTACAAAAACAATCACTATACATATCAGTATGTAAGATATTTAAGTAGCTGATTCTTTTTCTGAATGTTAGGCAAATAACAAATTCTCTTAGAGAAAATAATATGGAGAAAAATTCTACTAAGGAGTTTTCCAGAATTAGCTACAAGGAAAGAAACTATTTTTATGTATATTTCTTTAACTATGCCATGAACATAATACATAATTGCATGTATATTTAAGTAAAGTGTTTTTTCATAGTTCAGCAATTGCCTCTGAAATTATTCTGTCATATATTGAATTTTATCAATTTCTTATTATAATGACTTCCATTTAATCCAATTATGGGTAATTTGATCTACTGTCCAAAGATCTGGAACTGGATCATGAGAAAATAAATATCTATTTTTAACCATGTTTGCTTTAAGCAAATGTGTCTAGAAAATTTAAGAATCCTCACCAAATGTTAAATTATTTTTAAGGAAAGACTAGTTTTGAAATTAAAAGGAAAAGAGATAATAGTATGAGAGATGTAAAAGAAATTATTATTTAAAATAAATTATTCTGCAGAGCCTTGTCCAGAAGATTGTCCTTTAGATAACAAGCCATTTATTTCAATTGAAATAACAAGAGAAGACAATATGAATAAGAGAGAAGGCATCCTACAGATACATTATTGTTGTACCACTTCTGTAGAAATTACAATTAATGTCTAAGTTAATCAAAATTAGACAAATATTTTTCTTTAGTTTAGCAGAGAAATTTGATAACCTGGCATATGACTGTGTCACATATACAGAGGACAACAGCAAATGAAATTGTCTCATAAATATTTCTGAGGAATTAACAGGGAGTAAAGATACATAAATCTCTCTGAAAATTCTCAGAGTGCAGCAAAATCTTAGCAGGAATTAGACCCATTGTGTACATCTTGAATACACAGGTGACAAATAAGAATCCTTCATTTCCTCTAGGGAAAAAACTAGTGTTCACATTTTCATAAACTCTGAATATCTGGAAAAAAGGACATTTGCACCATTTACACTTTTGTAGGTCTCTGGTTTTATGGGCACACAATTCCCTGTGAAGAAAATGGAAATTACCCAGGAGCATTTCAGAGAATAACCATCCAGTCAGTGCTTTCCATGCCAATTACACTTTAAACTCATCATAATCTGATATTTTAGTCATCTATCTGGAGACAAGGAAATTTCTTAATTTAGCTGTCAATGCTTTCTTCAAAAGATGGAAAGACAGGATTATCAAACATAAATTTGAATCATTATAACCTGGATACTACATTTTTGTAACATTTACTGGTTATTTGACCACCTAAGCTATGGAAGAGAAGGTCAAAATTTAGCTTCCATTCCCTATCCATTCCTTACTGGAAATTCTTTTGACAACAATAGCAATCGTTCAGTCCCACATATCTCTAGAAAATATTAATTGGAAGCTGAAATTAGACTAGGAACATAAAAAAATAGCAACATAAATATATGATTATCACAGTTTGCTTGGGTATGAAAAGGCTTTTCCCAAACCATTACTGGCCCAAGAGATGTTATCACCTAGTAAGTGTTTGCTCCCTAGAGCTGTGGTAACTAGTGCTGCATGATTTAAAGGAGCAGAGATATCCAAAACAGTCAGTAAGCATTCCTTTCAAGTAAAAAATTGGATACTTGTTTTAAAATAGGTACTCTATGAATATTTTTGCTTGGCTGAAAAATGAGACCAAATGAACTGACAGATATAAGAATAAATTTGCTTTGTGGCTGACTCACATAGTATTCAGGTTTAATTTAAAATTTGTTTTGAGAGCACAAGACATGTCAATTTCATTTTCTCTGCCTCCAGACCACACATTATTGTATGATATGAGACATCACATTCAGATTTACATATTTTAAAAGTATGGGTGGAAATGCTTTACCACGTGCTAGTGTAGTTTTAAATTTAATCTGCATAGCAGAAGAAATGCTAAGATTAGGTACAGCTATTGTATAAGTCTACGTGCTAGATTTCCTAGGTTTGAGTGTCTAGCAGACAACAATACATACTTTCCAATTTTGTAATTCTAGTATGCCAATTTTTTGCTTTCTTCCTTCTTCCTGCTTTTCTTTTTAGCTTGTTTGTTCCCTCTCTGAATCCTTAAACAGCTCATCATTTAATTTTTCTGAAATAAAAAGGAATGGATGCTTGTCTTGTATAGCTGTTGAAACTGATTGTCTTTTCCAACCCAGGCTTTCTCCTTTGGTGGCCTCACTGCTTTAGTATGGACTTCCTTGAATTATTAGCTAAAGCTTGCATTCTTCACACGAATGCACTGGCACATAGGATGTAATTTGATCAGGTTCGATCAAATCAACTCTTAGAACGGTATTGCTTCAAAAAATACATGCTACATATCTGAGCTCAGTTCTTCAGCCCGCCTCCAAGCTTAATAGACTTTGTCGTATCATCTCTCGCTGTCATTAACTTCCTACATCTTTTTGATAATACAGAATATGGGAAAGAAGTCTTAAGTGGCAGCCTTATAAGACACAGCCTTATATGACACAGAGAGGAAGAAGAAATGAATTCCATAAGTTCTTTTACCTCCATGAACTCTGCAGCTGATTCCTTCTCTTCTCCTCCTGACTAAGTATATGGAAAGCTATTATCACATCCTGTCACAGTAGAGATAGACAAAGACACCTGTTTCTTCTTGCACAATGCTGAATCTTTATTGAACACAGCTCATATTTATATAGTTATCAAGAAGATAGAATAAGATAGAAGATAGAATATATCTAGAAGTCACCATGTTTAATTCCAGTTAGTCAGCAACTTATAGTAACTCAATTCGTTGGTTGGTAATGGCTAGTGTACATGTCCATCAAAACTTTTCTCTTTAACAATGTTTATATATTTGTCTCCTGGGTAAAGAGCAATTTCTCACAGGTAAGAGTCTTTCTCTTCACAGGTACAATCAGTTCCCACAAGAACAGATTGATATGTAAACTGATTCTCACATTTACAATTCTTTACTCACAGGGAATTATCAGGCTAGCTGTTAGCTATACCTAGCTGAAGTAATGAAGCCTGAACCATGATTTTACAGGGCCTTTATTTTGTAAGATTTTACCTATAGGTGACAACATTCAATTTTCTTTCTGGTGTTGTGTTAAAAAGATATGTTGCAATTAGACATCAGAGAGTAAAAGACTGATCCAAATGGAATTAAGTCAGTTTCAAATCTTACACAGTTTGCATAGTGATGCTGGGATAATCTGCTGTCTTTGCCTAGTTCATCTATTAAGTTTGGCATGAACAATTTTGGATGTGGCAATATCTATACCATATTTTTTTTGGACTTATGTTGCACCAGTGCACACAATGCCTGGAAGATATTTGCTACCTTAAATCTAAGGAAAACAACTGAGCAAGGCAGTTAAGACACGTTAGTGGAGAATGTTTTACTATTTTCCCCTAAAAGGGACTGTCCCAAAATTCTCCAACCAGTGTAATCTGTTAATTATGTACAGGTATATATGTTTATTTCTTCTCATGTGCAGAATTTTGCACTTCCCCTTGCTGAACTTTATGTGATTCATCTCTCTGTAAAACCTAAGGAGCAGGCTGCTGCTCTATATAGCAGCACAACAACCTGGTGTACCAGCCAGTTCCCTCAGTTTTGTCTTTTCAAAATTGCTGAGGGGGCACCCCATCTCCTCCTCCAGTTCTTAACTAAAATTTGCAATAGTACTTGTCCCAGCATTGACCGCGGGACAATAGTGACACACCTGTGACAGGACTCCAACTGAACCCTTCACTGCTCAGCATAACTCCCCAGACCTTGCTGTTCTGTGGCTTTTCAATTCACCTCACTGTCTCCTTATCTTTGCTTCTCTACGAGAAGTTTATTAGAAGCCATGATGAAATTTTTGCTAAGGTGAGGTTAAATAGCATGAACTACTGTCCCCTATCAAACCATCACCTCAATGAAGCTGTTGAAATAAGATTTTCTTTCATATATCCATACCGACTACTCTTAACCACATTCTTGTCGTTCATGTTTTTGGAATTAGATTCCCAGTAGATTTTCTCCATCACATTCCATCCATTCACAATTTAAGGTCTAAGCTTAAATTATCTCCCCTTAGGATTCAGAACACCATCTCCTGTCTATTCTAGGCTAGGGTTACCCCAACTTTCACATCCTTGAACAGTTCTTTCTTGTTCACAAATGTCAGACCCAGCAGAGCACCTTTCTTTGCTGTTTCTTCAGTTACCTGGAACAGAAAATTTTCTTCAACACATCATAAAAGTCTTTTAAATTACCTGAGTCCTGCTGTATGCCTGTCTAGCATAGATTAGGGTGTTTGAAATTCACCATAAGAAGCAGGGCCTGTGAATGTGAGGCCATATCTACTTCCGGATCAGGAGGTCTGTATTGGATTCTGACTACAAAAGCAAACCTGTTGGGCTGCCCTAAGTCTTTACCCATACGTTTTTGACCAATTTCTGGACAAATCATAGAGACAGACCTTTATGTAATCCAGTTGTTGGACACAAAATATAAATACCTCTTCTCACCTTCCCAAGCCTTTTCTTCTAGAGAGCCTGTATCCCTCCACTGAAGCATTAAGCCATGTCTGCCTTTCCTCACATTCATGTAGTGTCAATGTAGTGCAGTGACAGAGCTGTGCAGAAGAGGAAGATTGAAGAGAAATGGTTGCTTTTATGACAAGCAAGAAAACCCGCCTGACTTTAGGCAATCTTTTGCTTTACTTCTTTATGTGACCAAAATAAGATTTAAAAACTGGAAAGAGCCAGTGCCTATTTTGTATTAGTATGACAGGTTTAAGATGTAGGGAGTGCAAGACTGGCTAAAAACTGACTAGCTGATTAAATTTGATAGCCTTGTAATAGAATTTTATAAGACTGCAGACGTGTATGGTTTAGAAATGTGACCATGCTGAATAGGCTTTTAGTCCTCATCTTTTTTTTAGTATCAATACTGTCCAAACCAGGCTCTGAAGCATTTTCCTTAACTAAAATATTTGCTATATTTAATTTATGCAGAGGGATAAGCCCTTGGGAAATATCAAATTTTTTCACTTATTGAATCCAAATTTACTAATAAAATGTGCACGTTACAGATTGTACAGGTTCTTGTACCTTATCTTTTAAAAATTACTTAGAATTGATATAGCTGAACTGCTTCCTGCTTACTTCTTTTTATCATCAGTACTGTCTTATTTCTGTATTACTAAAACTCAAAAAAGTTAACTTTCACCACTTGAAGTTCATTTAAAGGATATTTCAGCTCCAGAGCTAAAAGACCAAACTAAGAATAATCCAATAATTTCTGAAAGTAATACATTTACAAAATTATTTTCTGTAGGTATAAGACAACTATTTTTTTTTCTGTTTTAAATCTATTATTTGTCTTCCATTTAAAGCAGATTTTGCTATAGAGGACCACTGTACTAGAAATAACTTGGTATTTAATAAGAGGGGTTTTTTTGGTAGCAACACAGTGTGTTATTATACTAGTTAATTAATATTAGTATGACAATTAAGGACAATGAAAGAGATACTTTGAGTCACTTGGGAATATATTCAAATGTAAACAAAATACAAAATACTGTAAACCAGAAACTCTATTCCTGATCAATATATGTTGCTGTGTGTTTTGCAATACTAGAAAATTTAGGATGCAAATAGAGTAATAGTAAGAGCAAGAAAAAATGAAATACTTTCTATTTAGATAGATATTTCAACAAGGAAAATATTTTTGAAAAATAAAACTTGCAAATAAAATTAATCTATCAAAATTACTAATAGGAACATTATATTACACAAAGAACAGAAGAGTTCACATTGAAAGATCTAATAGACAGAACCCTGACTGTTCTGGACATTTATCTTTACACACATTTGTATTATATGAAGGCACCCATGTGTCAACATTTTTCTTAATGGATTAGCTAATTAAAAACAGTATATTATATATATATATATATATATATATACACACATATATATATACACACATATATATATATATATATATATATATATATATAAAACACTTTTTTTCATTGCAGCATTTTTAAATACACACTATACTATATATTTAGCCAAATCTGAAGAAAGTGAGAAATCCTCATTAACAAAAATGACTAAATCAAGTCAAATTTAGAGAATATTTAGAGAATATAGGATGGATATATATCATGAAAAATGAAAATGCTGCTCCACAGCAAATGTTGTTCTCATGTGTGAAGTAATTTGTAGCTCTACAGGAACAGTTGGTTTCCATTGTCTGCTTTCAGATTCATGGCATAAGAAAAAATGTTGTGGACTGAAATAGAAGCCATTACTTATAAATAGCATATTTGTAGAAGCTCAGGGATATTACTGTAGCTTTGAACATCTCTACTTTTTGGTAAAAAACAGAGATAAATGCATTACGAGAAGTGTTGAATAAAAGCAATGTCTATTGAGCTTTAACTTCTCATTGTTTAGATACTTGTATTTCTAGTTCTTACTAGTGTAGAGGGATATGAGTTTTGCAATGAAAATCTATTTTTAAAGACATCATATGTTTCATGGTTCTTATAACTGTGATGTGTTCCATGCCATAGAAAAGTTTATCACAAAACTAAGAACAAAAAATTCCATCAAAATAAAGAATCCTGCTGCCTCTTCTTGGCCATCTACAAATAATTAATAACTGAGCTTCAACAGAATACAGGTAATTTCTTGTAAAAATGTGTTTCCAGTCCTCCCTGGAGTTTTGCAAATGTGGAACATTTAGTGTGATGTCTGAAAATTTTGTGATGAGTAGTTAGCCTTCAGTGTTCTATATATATAAGTAATATTTGTCAGAACTGTTTAATGTCTTGCTTACATGGTGCACCAGCTACCAAATGCCCACCCAGCTGCTCTGTCACTCATCTTTCTCAAGAGGATAAGGAGAGAAAATGAGAATTAAAAGATTATGAATTTCAAGAATTAGACAGGTAGATTAGTAAGAAATTATTGTCCTTGGCAAAACAGACCTTATTTAGGGGAGTTAGGTAATTAATTGTCAATTAAAATATACATGTATGGTGAAAAATAGAGACAAATTCAAACAATACCTTACCCCTGCCTCTACTTTTTTATTAGTCTTCACATTTTCCACTCACAACTCATCTGTGTCCTTCCTGTAGTTTGAGCAGTACAGAGGGGATGGGGATACATTCAGTTCATAACTGTTCCTCTCTGCTGCTCCTTCTTCTTCAAGCCTTTCCTTGTTGCAATGTGAGTCCTTCCCATGTCTTTCAGGATGAAGTTGCTCTGGAGTGGGCTCTTCACCAGATGCAGTTCCTGTTGTATCAACCTGCTTCCACAGGGCCACCTCTGCTTTGGTGCCTGGACAACTCCTTCTCCCTCTTCCCTGACCTTGGTGTTTTCACAGCTCTGTCTAACATTTAATTTCCTCTTCTCTCTGGTGTTTTGGGCGTTTCTTAATTGTGTTACCATTAGAGGAACCACCAGCATGGCTGCTGGGCTCAGACTTGTCCCTGTGTCTGGCATAGGGTAGCTCCTGGCATCTCAGAGACAGTACTGCCTCCTCTACACCAAAACCTGGACATAAATATCCAATACACACAGCAAAAATGTTTGCTACAAGGACTTTAATCTATAAATTTGCACTTGCACTGGAATGGCTTCAACAATATCTTGAACACAGAACAATTGGCAGTAAGACTGAAGACATCTGAGTGGTTTTGTCAGGTTATTTGAGACACTGTGATGGCAGAACATCAATCCATGGGAGTGAGCCAGAACCTCCTGGTGTTTATTGCCTTCAGTCTGTGATTGCTGAGCTTTGGGGTAAGGAAACAAAGTCCCCAAGTGTAAATACTGTTCCTTATTGTGAACTCGGCTTCAGACTCTGTCATGTTTTATCTATATTGCCTAATAATCTGTGCAGGCACTGGCTACTACTTATTAGGAACAAAACAATAGCTAAGTTTTTCAGAACATCTGAAAAAATCTGCCAATAACTTTAAAAAATGTTGCTCCTGTGTGTCCATAGATACAACATATCTTACAAGGGGTTGTTTGCATGTGAGAAGTGTTTTTAGCTGTGGCTTTTATTGTTACTTGCTCTTACATTTTTATATTTCGTCCCCTGGAAAACCTGTTTCCCTGAAACCTTAAGCTAAATTTCATGAACTTCATAAAATAATTCACTACCCTAATCTGTCCCCCATTATTTCTCTCTCTGTGCTGTAGGGGGACTCAGCTTTTCCATGAAGGTCGCAGCTGAATTTTATTTGCTGAAACCTTCAGCCTGTCACTGGTTCATTACTACTGCTCTCTTGACCTTGCAGATAGAATGGAGGCAATGTGTAATTCCTTATCAGAGACAAAACAGAAGGTAAAGAGAAAAACAGTACAAATATAAAAGAAATTAAAGGTAAAACCTGTCATGCATGTTCCGTTGCTTTCTGGTACATGTGATTAATTTCTAATCAATTTTTTTTCTTTGTCTAGGTTTCACAGAGATCTGAATAGGAGAGATTGGGGAGTTCCTGAATGTGACTATAAGAGGAGAAAAAGATGTAAAAATTTTTAAATTTACAATTACTATGCTAATATGTTTGGGGGAAGGGCTGTTTGGTTTTTTTCCAAGGAAACAAGTAAAGACACAACAAACAGGTTCAGAAAAAATCAAAATTTTTTGTGCTTTGTGCTCCATCATCAGTATAAAAACTTCATGACATGACTTGAAAATAGACTTCCAGCTTTCTGACCAATAAGACTAAGTACTTCAGAAATTAAACTTACAGTAGAACATAGTGTTTAACATGGCTTTATAGCATGTAATATACCCAATAATTGTTTTCACAGTAAATGTCGTAGATGTTCTCCCAAGTAGCAGCACCATTAAAAAAACTCTCCTTCTTTCTGTCTTTCCATCACTTTTCCATGTTTTTTCTTATTTCTTCCTTTCTTATTTTAAAAGTTTTGGATGAAACTCCTAAAAAATGTATCCTGAGTTTATCATATCAGTCAAGAAAAATTTCTATACAAACCTCAAATAAACATGACCAAAACTAAGAAAAACATGGAGTTAATATCTTATAAAACTAAACTTGGAACCTTCCAGTCAAGCTGGTTCATTTTGATTCATTTCTGATTGCTGGCCTCCTTCTTCCTTGGGAACAGTACAATCCATCCCTAGCATGCTATTACAACCCTCTATAAAATATTTCTTAATCTCATTTCCGTCCTCCACTAAGCAGAGAAAACTCAAATGCCAGCACCAGTCTTGGCAACACACATCCATAGAGAAAGTACACACTGAACCAGGAAGGATATTGCCAGCTGAGATTTCTACCAGCTGGAAAGCAGGGGAGCTGCCACAGCACAGTCAGTACTGGAGGTTTAAACAAGTTTATTGATCATTTGAGCAGCTTTACTGCTATATCTCACATGAATTAT